TTTTTGTGTTAAGTGCTTCTGTAAGGTGTTTAAAAACAGCTGTCCAAAAGGCTAGCAGACAGGGACAGGACCAAAACATGTGGGTCATGTTTGCTGGCGACAGGTGACATCTGTTGCAGCTATCTGTGATACTGGAGTAAATCTTAGACAATTTGGAATTAGTAAAATAGATACGATGAACAACCTTAAATTGTATCAGATTAAGCCTGGAGCAAGACGAACTGTGATTGATCCGGGTCAGGGCTGAGTCCCAGTCGCTGTCATTAATAGTCCTGCCAAGCTCCTGTTCCCACTCTGTCCTCATTTTACCCAGAGATGTCTCTCTGAGATGAGAAATTAGAGTGTACATTTTGGAAATGAGGCCTTTTTGATTTGTGGGAATGTTCAAAATGGAGTCAATGACTGAGTTAGGTGGAATATTGGGAAAACAGGTGCTGTTTGATTTAACAAAGTTACAGACCTGGAAGTAACGGAATAGGTGAGAATTTGGAAGGTTAAATTTTTTTGCACAGTTCGCTGAAGCTAGGAAAGACGTTATTAATGTAGAGATCACTTACCCTTACTTACCCAGGCCACTTACAAGGCCTGAGCTCTGCCATAAAGAAAACGCATTATCGATTCTGGGAGGGAGAAAGAGATGATTATTCTGTATGGGGCTATGATTAGACAATCCTTTGGGTCCAAAAGAACATCTGATTGGGACCAAATTTTTAGGGTGGAGATGACGATTGGGTTGGAAGTATGTAGGGACGACTGAAAAGGCAATTTTGATATGAGTAGAGCTAGGATTGAAGTAGAACAAGATTTAGTCTCTAACTTACACCAATCTAGCTCAGTTTCCCGAATCCAGAGAGTCATTTTGTTTATATTAGCTGCCCAATAGTAGAATCTTAGATTAGGGAGTGACAAACCGGCATTTGTGTCTTTGCAGAAATTCTCTCCTAATCCTGGCCGTCTTGCCTTTCCATATAAAAGATTAAATTAATTTATTTATAACACGAAAAAAAGAGTTGGGTAGAAAGACTGGCAAACATTGAAACAAATACAGAAATCGTGGGAGCACATTCATTTTGATACAGTTTACCCTGCCAGCTATGGATATATGCAAGTTACTCCACCTTTCAAAAATCAGATTTAAGTTTGTCTACTAAAGGTAGAAAGTTGATTTTATAAAGATCTGAGGTCTTACGACAGATATGGACACCCAGGTACTTAAAACTGTTTTCAACAAATTTAAATGGGAAAGAGACAGCTGGAGTTTCCAAGGCAGTGTCATTAATAGGGAAGCATTCACTCTTTGAAAAATTCAATTTGTACCCAGAAAATTCTCCAAAAACATTTAATAAATCAATTATTGTAGGGATGGTGGTTACTGGTTCTGAGACAAATAATAATAAATCATCCGCATACAAGGAAAGAGCATGCCTTAAACCCCATCTGTGGATTCCATGATTAAAACTAGCCAATTTAAGTGCAATCGATAGTGGTTTTATTGCTAAAGCAAATAGCAACGGACTCAAAGGGCAGCCTTGACGAGTTCCCCTGTTAAGAGTAAAATATTGAGATTTCACCCCATTAGTAATAACTGAAGCTTTAGGAGAAGAATACAGAAGTGAGACCCAGGATATGAATTTAGGTCCGATGGAAAATCTCTTTAAGACCTCCAGCAGATAGCTCCACTCCACTCTATCAAAAGCTTCCTCCGCATCCAGGGAGACCACCACTTCTGGTGTCTCCCTAGACGCAGGAGAGAAGAGAATGTTGAGGAGGCGGCGGATATTGGAGGAGTGTCGGTTTTTCATGAACCCGGTTTGGTCAGGTGAAATGATGCTTGGCATTATCAATTCAAGGCATGAGGCCAGTGTCTTTGCCAGGATTTTATAATCAGCATTTAAGTAGGAGATGGGACGTTAAGCGCCCCACTCTGATTCTACAATAGGGTTATTGATGCCTCAGTGAGAGTTTGGGGTAAGGCTCCCGATTTAAAGCATCGTTAAACATATCTAGAAAAAGAGGGATTTATTTATTAGCAAATTTTTTTAAAAATTCAATAGGGTAGGTCAACAGGGCCAGGAGCCTTGCCACTTTGTATTAGTTTAATTGAGTCTTTTATCCCACTGAATCCTAGAGGCTTATCCAGTTCGCTCCTCTGGGTAAGAGACAAAGGGGGGAAGTTTTGATTGTCCAGGAAGCTCATCATATTTGTTTTGTCGGGTGGGGATTGTGAAGTATATAATTCAGAGTAAATGGTTTTAAAAGTTTCATTTATGACAGATGGTATCACTGTGAAATCACCTTAAGGGGTTCTAATCTGTTTAATTTGCTGGGATGCTGTTTGACTTTTAATTTGACGTGACAGATGGCGTCCTGCCTTCTCACCATGTTCATAAAGGAATCCACGTGACCTTAGTAATTTTTCTGTTTCCTTTGTTGACAGCAAGTTATAGTCCATTTAAAGGTTTTGTCTCTCCTTTTCCAATTCTGGGGATGGATGGGTTAATAATTTTCTGTCCAATTTGGTTATCTTTTCCATGAGTTGATCCTGTTTTTGTCTCCTTAATTTATTTATTCTTGCAGAATAGGATATAATCTCTCCTCGAACAACTACCTTTAATGTTTCCCACAGTAGGGATGGGGAGATGAGGTCAGACTTATTGGTGACAATATAATCATTGATTACCTTGGAGATTGTTTGACAGAAGTCATCATCATTTAGCAAAGTGCTGTTCAATCTCCATGAAGGGCGCGTCTTTTGCAGGAGTACAAATGAAAGGTCGAGAAGTAGAGGAGCGTGGTCTGACACTACAATCGTTGAATATTCTGTATTATTAACAGCAGGAATAAAATAATTATCAATGTGAAAATAGTCAATTCTGGAAAATGTTGAATGGACATGAGTGTAAAAAGAAAATAGTTTTTTATTAGGATGGAGAAAGCGCCATGGATCCACAGCTCCAATTTGATCCATAAAAAATATAATTGCTTTACCAAATTTAGAGGGAGAGTCCTTTCGTGGGCATGATTTATCCAAAAAGGGGTTAATTGTGCAATTTAGATCACCACCTAAAATCAGGTGGTGGGAAGTTAAAGGTCAGGTAAAAGTGAGATTACTTTCTCGACAAATGCTTCATCATCCCAAGTGGGTGCATAGAGATTAACTAAAACGACAGGTACATTAACAAGGTTGCCTGAGACAATAATAAACCGTCCCTGGTGGTCAGCTATAACTTTTGTTGGGTAAAACTGTATATTTTTGTGTATCAAAATCGCTACACCCCTTGCTTTACTACCAAAATTGGTGTGGAAACTTTGGCCCACAGTTTCCACAAAATGTGTTAAAATCATACACATTTTTTGTGTTATTATATTTTAACATTTGTTATGTTATATTTACACATCCTGTGTTATTATCCTTGACACACTTTTGAGTTAATGCTATTTTAACACATAAAATAGTTATCATGTGAATTAAACACAACATGTGTTAGCCACTGCTAGGTCAAAGAGGTTATTAATGAAAACACCTGCCAGGGTTATTTTTAACCAAGCAGTGGCTTTATTAATTGTCCTTCTTTTGAATAATTCTGGAATCATCTTTTTTTTATAAATTCTGTAACTTTTTTCTTTATTTATTTTTAATTTTTTTAGTGGGAGGAAGCCCCTCAGCAGGGGAATCAAACCTCCAAACACCCAGTCTCAGGGTGGACCACAAGGCCACTGAACTGTATTTGAGACCAGATTCTTGAGTAGCACGGTGCCCTGAAGACAGGAGTATACCTTTCCTCACACACAGACGTATGGTTCTCTTAATTGACTATGGTTTGGGTTGTACTATTTTAACTCAATAAAAATAAAATATTAAGTTCCATTTTGGGGGGAAATAAATCCAAATATATAAGTCCCATTTCTGTAGGACCCCCAGCTGATCTGTCCACTTTACTCAGACACCTGGATGGTCTCTGGCTGGGTGACCCTGGGTCATGGAAGCTTGTAGCTCTAATTTAGGGGTGTGGATTGGAGCAATGCACTGAGAAAGTTGCCACATGAACCAGCTCTGGAAAAAAATCATGTTGTGTAATCCCTTCTTTGATCCTCCTGAGGGCAGCACTCGCCACTGCCTTTGATGGCTTTGAAATGCAACAATGGTAGCTGTGCTAACAGCTAAAGGCTAATAATCAAGCTCGCTGAGGAGTTGGTCTGCCCTCACACACACATTTACCATGAGATCGATGTGTGTGTGTGAGAGGCACATTTACATTTGCAACTCAAACTACACGCCACGGGAGTAATGCCGTTGTAACCCGGCCCAGCGCACAGCCTCGAGCCGCAGGGGACGGTTGTTTGACATGCCATGTCTGTATTTTAGGTGTTTCATTGTTGCACTGATGGTTTAAGAATGAAATGTTTAATGTTTATACTCTGTGTTTGCACTATGTTTTGCTCCCAAGTTTGCACTAAAGTCTTACAAAGTCCAAGATTTTGCACTGCTGCCTGAACCAAATAAATTTTATAAAAGTGACTTGAGATTCAAGCAATTGTTTATTCTTTTTAGTGACCAGGGGGGTATTCCAGAAAGCGGGTTATGTGAAAAACTCTGAGTAAGTTAACCCTGAGATGAGGGAAACTCTGAGTTATCCGTTCCAGAAAGAGAGGTAACTTAAACACTGGGTCAGTTACTGCGGTAACTTACTCTGTGAACATAACCTGCTCGCTGACAGGTTTACTATAAGAGACCCAGAGTTTCTACATGTCTCCTCCCACACAAAGAAAGCGGTTGAACATGGATTGTCCATTCCTTGAAAATCCGATCGACATCGAAGCCAGAATAATGCGCAACGGTTTACGTCGCGAGAGAATCTTCCGACCCAGATTAGACATTTTATAATTTCCAGAAGAATTTATTTTCGAACGCTACCGCTTTTTTTTTAACAGTATAATTTATCTAAATAACCTTCTCCGGCCGTGTATTCAGTGTACATGTCAAACTCCAAATTCCACTTTAGAATGTAAATGAATGGGCACTGCCAGTAGCTATATATTAAGACACACTTCAGGATGCCCCTCTGGATCTCTCCCTGTGGCAGCAGACAGTGTTTCTTCATCCTCCTCCTCCTCCCCCCCCCTCCTGTAATGCAGGAAAATATACTGTTTCAGAATACTTTGAACTACCATCTGAGGCATCTGAGTATGGAAGACTTACAGCTACAGGGTTTGTTTCTGTCGGAGGCTGAAGCAGGCAGATGACACCATCCACAACTGTTGGGTGGGTGGATATATATTTGTTAAAAAGTAGGCTATATATATTTATATATTAGTTTTATTTTTTTTAAAGACATAAGTGGATACTTGCATCTGATGTAGGGACTTGTGTCCTGGGGGGTGACAGGCTCAGATGAGCTTCCCCCGGGGATGCCTTCAGCCACAGGGCGACCCCTGTTTTGGCTGAGGGCCAGCTCCTCAGCCTCCGTCAGATGTAGTGGAGGTGGCCCTCCACCCGTTTTTCGGGCCTCTGCCTTCTCTCTGTTGGCTGAGCAGAAGTCAATGTTTATTTTAAAATAGTATTTTAATCAGTGTTGGTGTAGGCTACAGCGTCACATTTTAAATGACTTCAATAGGTCTAAAATATAGATGTGTTTGTATCAAGTGTTAATCCACGAAGTGTAGAATTAAGTGAGAGGACGTTGAAAAACGACATTTTGTTTGGGGTTTAAATTATAATTTGAAGTAGCCGCTGAATTAATATTTTAGTTTAAATTAATATTGACTTTGTCTAATAGCCTAAGTCCATTTAAAATAATTAAATTAAAATCAAAGTGAGGTGCAATCACAGCCCAGCAAAATATGCCTTACCTTTTTGAATTATGTTTTTATGTTTCATTTTGAGCTGCTTCCAAGTCCTTTTTTCTCCCGTTGGATTGCACCTAAATGAAAATCAGATTTCATTCCTACTTATATTTATAACTATAGACTATGCTTCGATCTTATATGTTACGTCAGTGGAATAGTACATTCAAACTTACGCATTGACTCGCGCAGCAATTTTCTCCCATGCTGTCTCTCTCTCCTTCGCTGCTGCAGCCGTGTTGGATTTGCGGCGAAAAATGTTCTCATACTCGCCGTAGGCCAGCATAAGGACCTCCAACTCCACCGGGGTGAAATAAATTGACCGTTTTTGCTCTGTTGTCATGGTGACTCGTGGTATCGGGGCTCCATTGATGATGGCTTTTTATAGTGGTTGTGCACGCGCGTAACTCCAGGTTATCATACTCAGAGTTGATTGAACTAATTCAGATCAGCTTTTCTGGAACCGGATACTCAGAGTCTCCCATCTCAGAGTAAGTCAACTCAGAGTTCAGGGATAGACTCAGAGTATGTTGAACCTGCTTTCTGGAATACCCCCCAGGGGTCCGTTTCACGTAGCAGGTTTAATGGAAACTCCGAGTTTGTTAACCCTGAAATCAGGGAAACTCTGAGTTTTTCGTTTCACAAAGGAGGGTTAGTTAAACCAGGGAGAGAGGGGTAACTCTAACCTGTTTCACAAAGAGAGGTAACTCAACCTCGCGGTCAGTTACCACAGTAACAGACTCTGTGAACCTAACCTGCTCGGGAGCAGGTTTAACTCAGTAAACCCAGAGTTTCAGGTGATCCCTTTAAAAATGCTCTTTTCACACTCAAAACTGAATTTTACTCTCTTATTATGTTCCGTTAAATGATTAGGAATATTAAACTAACACACACACGCACACCAGTCCGACGATCGCTGCTACGGGGTGGGGGTTGCGATCGTCGAAGGGGGGTGGGGGGTGTGGGGGGGGGCAGCTCCTCTGCCTCTGTTAAAGGTGGGGCTGCTGGGCCACTACCCGTTTTTCTGGCATCTGCCCTCTTTCTGTTTGCTGAGTCTAATATTGAGTGTAGTGTGTGTTAGTTTAATATATGTACATATACATACTGAGAGTTAGTTTAATATTCCTAATCATTTAACGGAACATCATAAGAGAGTAAAATTCATTTTTGAGTGTGAAAAGAGCATTTTCTAAGGGATCAAACTGCCACTTAATACTTACTTGACAATGTAAAACATGATCAAAATGATTCAAGCAGTTTCCCTGCAACAGTCTGTCATTGTGATTGCACGAGACTAGATTTAAAGTTACGCATTGACGCGAGCAGCGATTTCCTCCCATGCCCTCTCCCTCTTCTTTGCAGCTGCTGCTGTATTGCACTTTCTTTTAAAAACGTGCTGTAATTCGCTGTTGGCTTGCTGCTGCCCCCTCCTTCTCCCTGTTTCCATTGGTTGATCATTGAATCTGCGCTCCACAGATGCTGGCTGTTTATGTCTGGCGTGCACGTGCTTAACTCCAGGTCAAACTACTCGGAGTTGTTAAAACCGTCTCAAATCAGGTGTAATGAAACTGGAAACTCAGAGTTTCCTAACTCAGAGTAGATCAACTCAGAGTTAAGGATTTAACTCAGAGTTTGTTGAACCACCTACGTGAAACGGAGCCCTGGTTTGGTAATTTAGCAGATAATCGCAGTAGCTCAGGAGGTAGCGCGGTCGTCCAGTAACCAGAAGGCTGGCGGTTCGATTCCCCCCTATCCCAAGTCTGTCCGTTGTGTCCTTGGGAAAGACACTTAACCCACCTTGCTCCCAGTGTGTGTCCTCCACTGGTGTATGATTGTGAGTGTTGTGTGGTGGTGGTCGGAGAGACCGTGAGCGCAAAATGGCAGCCACGTTTCCGTCAGTCTGCCCCAGGGCAGCTGTGACTGCTAAGGTAGTTTACCACCACCAAAGTGTGACTGTGTGAGCGAATGATTGATGTATCCAATGTAAAGCGCTTTGAGGGTCTCTGATAAAGCGCTATATGAAATCTGATGCATTATTATTAAAATTATATTGAACATTATTTGTATTTTAATATTTTATAAACAATAACACAGTTGTGTGTAAATTGTATGAAAATAAAACACTTTTGTGTGAAGAATACATAACGCAGCTATGTGTAAATTGCATGAAAATATGACACAGCTCTGTGTTATCTTTGTGTAAACCCAACACAGTTGATGTGTTGACACATTTAACACACAACATGTGTAAAATCTGTCAACACAAAGTCATGTGTCAAAACAACATATTGTGTGTTGTCCTTAACTAGACACACGGATGTGTTAAGAAATAACATATGATGAGTTACTTTTGACACATTCGTTTTGAGAGTGCACCCATGAAGCCTTTAACCTATGGTGATCCTTAGTGATCAGATGTGTCTCCTGGATGAAAGCAATTTCCGCTTTAAGATGCTTCAAGTGAGAAAAAACTCTACTCCGTTTAACAGGACCATTGATTCCTTTAACATTCCAAGAGACAAATCTCAGACAAGATCTCCCTGTAGTGTTAGGCATAGCAGACTAGTAGGAATATGGCAAGAAAAAGCATTGGTTCGTTGAAGGATGTAGTGCTAAAACCCCAGACGAAAATAAAGATAACAAATATGTAGGATTTCCCACCCCATTGCCCCAAAACAAAAACCCTAAAAACAAGAAACAGATAAACATAAACAAACCTATACCTCCCTAAGCTTGTCCTAAGAACACAGACAAGCAGCGGGACTCCATAAACTCTATTACTTCCGTGTGACATAACTAAGCAAAATCCTAACCAGCGGTGCGAGACTCCAATACCTGAAAGTGACTACAATGTATACAATGCGCAGTGTGATTATATGTATATATATGAATATAACAACAACAACAACAACAACAATAATAATAATAACAGCAATAACAATAATAATAATAATAAATAAATAAATAAAAACAAATTATAACAAAGGAAGAGAAAGAAAAACATTTGCAATAAAGTTAATACATAAATAAAAAGTGGAAGAGCGAAAGAAAGAGAGAAAAAAAGAATAGGATCTATATATCGTTAGCTGCACCAAGACACAACAGCATACTTGTTGTAAAGGATTAACCAAAGTAGTCCCTTTTTCTTACAATTTGTCTATATAAATCTAGAGGGGAAAAAAAGAAAAAAGTGAAAAAATTGTTGACTTCCATTAAGTCTTAGGGGGAAGAAGTATGCATGCTGTTAAGGGTCAACCAAAACAGCCCCTTGCTTTTAAATCTTATCCACGTAAAACTTGAAAATGAAATGGACCAAATTGATAACTTAGAAGTAAGTCTATTAGGGGTAAGGAAAGCAATATATGACAGTATACATGCTGAACACGATCAGCCAAAATAACCCCTTACATTTCAACAGAATAAAACATTATCCCAAATGCAACTAGAAAAAATATTAAGATAGTTACCTCATAACTAAAACTATTAAGGAAAAAGAAAGCAGTCTGTGACGGTATATACGAGCCTATTACAATGAGAGGGCAGGTTGACATTCAAACACTAGTGTCAGTGTCTCACCGGAACAGCTGTGAGTGAGTACTGGTGACCAGACATTGCCGTGAACCAGGTCCTCGATAAGTCCCCTAGTTGGTGGGAGTGATGCGCTGGTTGTAAAAATCCTGGGCTTTCTGTGGAGAGTCATAGTGGAAGCTCTCGTTGCGGAACCAGACCTGGAGCCGGGCGGGATGTAGCAGCCCGAACTTTACTCCTTTCAGGTAGAGGGAGTTCTTGACAGGGTTGAACGCAGCCCATTTTTTGGCCAGGTCAGGGCTGATGTCAGGGTAAACTCTCAGCTCAGAGCCGCGATATTCCATCTTGTGTTGTCTGGCCCATCTGAGAACTTTTTCTTTTTCTTGGAAACTGGGGAATTTGACGAATAAGGCTCTGGGTTTCCCCAAGCTACCGTCACCTGGTCTGGAGCCGGGGGAGCGATGAGGTCTTTCTATTTCAGGGGGGCTGCTGAGGACATCGGGGCCCACCAAGATCATCAGAAGGTTGGAGATGAATCTCGTCGGATCCTGGTCCTTCTCGCTGCCTTCAGGTATGTTGATAGAACGCAAATTTTAATGCCTGGACCTATTTTCGAGGTCATCAACTCGCTCTAGCAGCAGTGCGGCTTGGGACTGTAGTGTAGCAGCTGTAGCTTCCATTGCTGTTATCTTCTCGAAGTTCTCTCCCACCAAAACTTTTGGTTTGGTGGGAGCCGTTTTTTGTTTTGGTGAGCCGGGTGTTGAATGACGTCACCTGTTGACCGAGGGACTCGACTGACTGTTTCAGGGATTCAGTGGATTGTTGAATCAATATAGCCATATCGGTTTTGAAACAGTCACGTTGCTTGTTGAATAAAGCCTCCAGGTCGAGCCTAGTGACTGGGTCGGCAGGGTCGCTATCTGCGCGTCTTTCCCCTGGGTCTGGAAGCTTCTGGACGGTAATGGCCTTGCTAGCTAGCTTAGCTGAGATGCTAGTAGCTCAGGTAGTTACCGACGGATTGGGGTTAGAGGGGCTCATTGCGTCAAAGTTCTCTTTCCCACAAAGTAAAATAAGATGTGTGCAAG